TCGACATCACACTCCCAAGGTAGCCGAAACGGGAGGTGGTTTCCAATACTTCAGCACCAATGCTGATTCGCGGCAATATTGAAGATTGCACCTCCGGTGAAGGCTGAAAGAGACAGAGAGTTTTGCTTGTGTTGATGGTGAGTCCGAATTTGGCCGCTGTCGCAGCCAGAGCACTAGTCATGTGCTGCAACTCATCCTCGCTGTGTACAAACAACGCACATTCGTCAGCAAACAGTAACATACGGATAGTTGTCTCAGGGACTAGAGTTCTCGCACCGAAACGATGGGTGTTCAGCAACTCACCATCAATACGGTGCTCCACACGAACACCGTAAGCACAAGCAGCATCAAAAGCACAGGACAACATTGCATGAAGATATATATTAAACCGAGCAGGAGCTAAGACACAGCCTTGCTTCACACCGGTGACAACTGCAAAGTCCTCTGAGATCCCTCCGCTCAGCTGCACCCTCGCTCGCATACCACTGTGCAGACATTCAATTAAACTTACAAACTTACTCGGGCAACCAAACTTACCCAACACCAGCCACAATGCCTCGCGGTTCACCGTATCAAATGCCTTGGTGAAATCAACAAAAAGCGAGTACAATGGCTGGTGTCGTTCTCTGCACTTCTCTTGCAACTGACGAGCCGCAAACACCATATCTATGGTGCTGCGACCCGAACGGAATCCCCACTGCTCCTCCGCCACATTAGGTTCGACAACCTGACTGACGAGGCGGTTGAGCAGGATTCGGGCAGTCATCTTGCCCACACAACTCAGCAAGTTGATGCCACGATAATTCGTGCAACATTGCTTGCTCCCTTTACCGTCCTACAATAGTAGCACAAGGTCATCCTTCAGCTCAAGAGGCTCCTCCTTCTCAATCCATACGCTTTGCACTAAGTGGTTCAGCGCAGTCACCAAAGCGTGTCCGCCGTGTTTCAGTACTTCAGGCGGGATCCCGTCGGCCCCAGCACACTTGCCGTTTCGCAGCTGAGCAAGTGCTCTCTGCATCTCACCCAGTGTCGGCGTGTCCGTCAGATTCGCTTTCACATTGTGCTGCTTGAGGCCGTTCAATGTAGGCCAGTCGATCTCTGAACGGTTGTTCATGAGACAGTCAAAGTGTTTCCGCCAGATTTGCATTATGTCTGCAGTCTGTGTGCATGTAGCGCCTGAACTACCGTCGATCAGCGTCCTCATCGGCTCCAATCTCGGTCCATACATCGCCTTCAAGGAGTCAAAGAATTCCTTGTGTTGGCGGCGTTCGGCGTAGCATTCCATCTGCTTCGCTTTCTCCGTCCACCATGCATTTTTAATGCGACGGAGCTATCGGGTCAGTCGCCGTCGAAGTTTGTGAAGCTGTCTACTCTTCCCCAAGTCACTGGCGTCTGCCACATGTGCAGCAAATGCTGCATTCTTCTCACACACCAATGCGCCAGTGGCACATTGTTCTCAGCGAACCAATCAGGTCGCTCGCAGTTTGCGCGCCCGATGGTCTCCTCGGCAGCAGCTGTCACCTGGTCGCGAATGTGGTGCCACAGGTCGCCCACTGTGGCTATGCAGTCCTCATCACACAGGCGTGCAGCCATCGCCTTCTCCAGCTCAGTACCTTTCGCCACAGTACCGAGGGAGAGAATGTTAAATCTACATCCCCGATTCACGGCTGGAGTGCAATACATAGATTTACGAAAATATATGTACAGTTTGGTCCGCACCAATTTGTGTTCAGTGCCACACTCAGCTCCACGCAGTACACGTGTCATGCGCACTTCACGCATATCACGCTGACGTACGATGACATAGTCGAGCACGTGAGTGTGATCATTCCGTGGGTGCGTCCAAGTTGCTATATTACTTGCACTCCTTGCAACCCGAGTGTTCTTGATCGTCAGGCCGTGAGTGGCACTCAGTGAAAGCAGCCTGTCACCGTTCGCATTCGCTGAACAAATTCCATGCGGAGCGATAACATCAGTCCACACCGATGTATCACGCCCAACACGCGCGTGGAGATCACCCAGCAGAAATAGTCGGTCGCTCATCGGCACAGAGCGTATCACAGAGGATAGCTCAGTGTAGAACTGATCACGCGTGTCATCAGGATAACACGTGCTAATAAAGGTGGCAACTTACCTCTTCCGAGTTGTAGGCGAATAGTCATCAGTCGCGCGCTGATGCCTGTTGGTTCACCCAGCAGCTGGTCATGGAGGCGATCGGATATTGCGAATCCGACCCCATGGTCACGTGGTGCTGAGGCGGCGTTGCTCACCCATTAGAATGTGTAGTCAGCACCTGCTTCATGCAAGTTACCTTGCTCAGCGAGCCGAGTTTCACTGAGCGCCGCAATATCGATGTGGTAGCGCACTAGTTCCATCGCGATGAGTGCAGTGCGTCGCTCCGGGCGCTCGCTCGAGTTCCGGTCCAGTAGTGTGCGCACGTTCCAGCACCCGATGCTGAGTGCTTTGCGCGCAGCATACGATTGCATTGGTGGGCAATCGCACGCGAAGTGGTCGTTGGGCTTCGGAGGTTTGTTTGAAGGACTCCGCCCGGAGCCTTTGGCTCAATAGCCTGACCCACAAGGCAGTGAGGAGCAGATCAATCTCGGGATTGTGATTGCAGATACAGATTGGGATTTACTTGACGTCCATCACGCACAGCCTTGGAGGTACTGGAACGATTTATATATGCTTTGCGACCGTAGTAGGATACACCTGCGACCACGGCCAGACGCAGATGGGTTTTGGCGAGTTTGCACCAATTTGACCAGGGGCTGCCTGGTTTGAGGTGGGCAGTAACAAACCATTGGACACCCGGAGTTGTGTCCTCCCACCGTCAGGGAAAATGCGTGGCGCTCGTGCTCTACGCCAATCAAGCTGTGAGCTTATAACCCGTAGACCTGTTGTCTCCCATGGCTAGGTTTTACGGGAGGAGGGCCATCGAGCACTTTCCTAACTTCCGAGGAGGATGGACTAGGATATTGCCTGGGCGCCCACACCTGACAGGAGAACGACTCGGGTCCTCAGCCAAAGTCTTCGATTAAATGTACACCCAGAAGGCAGCGGGTCTAGCACATGGTCAGTTCACTGACTCATGCGGATTGGTGTCTTGGATCTTAGCAGGGAGAAGGGCGAAACCGAACTCCCACCCAGCTGTCGCCAAGAGGAGGCGCCCAGGCCATGAGCCAACGGCACAACAGTAGCAGCAGTGGGTAGACCATCTGTCAGGATCTAGCCACCACTAGCCTCAGCGCACTATACGCTCTGCCGCCATATATATATATATATATATATATATATATATATATATATATATATATTCCACGAAATGGACATAGAGCCATCAAAAAAGCATGGGAATCAAAGGAAAGTTCTGTTTGAAAAATTAAAACGAAGCATTTTTAGTTTGTTTCTCATACGCCGATTCTTTTTTCTTCCGTCATTATTGATGCATTAAACATGATTCCAAAGGTACCACCGAGTGTAGTTTGTTATTTAGCGGTTACGCAAGCCATCGTACCACACTGTGATCTGTTTTTGTTGTGTTAGTCTTCCTAATTGGTTCTGCCCGCATTACATTTGCTTATACCTGTTCTTACTACTGATCGTTCGACTTGATTTACCCTCGTGGCCACTATACTTATTTTTCCGCTGTTCTTCGGAACAGTGTGATCTCTGCCATTTTATACTTTGCATATTCGTCAACAAGTCTGGATGTAGCCCTCCGCATGTTTTCTATCGACGATTGACCGTACGATTCTATTCGATCTACTACTCGTCGGTGCACAGCTGAAATTTGGCCAGCGGTACTGAACTGCACAGTTTCATAGGTTATCTTCACAATCCAACAACTATACATTCCGCGCCACCTTCAACGATTTTATCTTTAATTGTTTCACAGTTTTATTCCCCCCTTGTTCTTTCGTTGCACGTGTTTCATTCCATGTCCAATTTGTCAGGAAACCTTTCCTTCAGCTAGCTTTATTTGCATTTTCGATGCTGCACATGTCTGTTCAAACGTTTCATAGGCACAAAGCGCCCACTGGGATGTACACTCCTCCGTGTTGCACTGCACTGGCTTGGCCTTTCAAGACCAGAAACAGTTGCTTGACATCCACTTATTGGGTTTCATCGGTTGTTTCCAATTTATGGCCTGAGATAGCCTCATACATTGCTATTCATTCGCCCTTTTTGTATTCAAAGAGGATTGTCCTTAAACACATACATCAGTTACCGCGTCAGTAGCCACTCCCCTTTGTATGGTGAGCATTGGACCTGGTTAAACTTGTGATTGTCATGTTCAAAGAACATTTCTAAAATTTACTACTGGACCATAGTTCTCAGTGCGCGAGAACACGCGCAAATTCTTAGCGTTTTCTGTTCATTTGTACAATACCCAAAGCCACGTAGACCACGGTGACATTTTCACCTCATGCGTTCTCTGGTTCTCCTTTGTCTGAGTATTGGTGTTTCGTTTTCTGAACGCAGTGTAGTGCAAGCGCTGCGAGGAAAAATTGCTAGTGACTTCACGTAGGCCAGCTTCTGTTGCCTCCTTGGATAGGGTTTAGGCTTCTGGTTCTGTGATGGCTGAGAATTGTTACACATATTCACAGTAAGTGATGCTGTTACTTTCACCTGATTGGGTCATCTAAAGTTCTCGGAGCCCTCTAAGTTACCGCTTAGGCAAGGTCGCATAAGTTACACTAACACCGGGGTGCCGCTAATTTTCCACGCACCCACTACCCTACACTTGATTGACCGAATGCGCTAGTCATGTCGACTCTTTCTTCCATGCGTTGCAACTAGGATAGGGCTGTGCTCTACCACGTTCTGTGATGAAATACCGGTATTGTACATCAAAAACACACCTGAGCATATTTTCTGCGAACCTAAACCATTTGTTTCTTGCTATTCACGGTCGGGTTAATGCCCGATCGACTCCTTGCAGTCTTCTATTTTTCGTTGCGTGATTGCTTTTCCTGTTTTCGTCTTTTCCCCCACAGTTCCATTGATCCGACACATGAGCAGCAACATACTACGTCCAACGTCCTTCAGTCCCATGCAGTAACATTCCACGGTGTACAATCGATGCGCCTTTCGCGTACCATCGTTTGAGGCCCGTCCCGAAATCCCTCTGACGCTCCGAATCAACTATCAACCTTGTGCCTCCTCTTCATTGCTCCTTACCTTGTTGTCAATGTGTTATCGACAGCCCGCTGCTTGCCCACAATAATTGTTTTATTCCTCATTGTTACCATACTCCGTCCAACTCAGTGAAATTTTTGTACTACATTTATCCAACGTATTTTGTCAATTTATGGCATAGTGTGCTTCCACTTCCCTGTTCGGTGTCGCTGTAATCTCACGATCCTCACGCATCGTGCTTGATCGGGCACGATTTGTCAGCTCTGGCTCCACTTATTTTTATTATAATTCAACCTGACCACGTTGCATACGGAACCTCATTCCTATCTTTCCTCGTAATTGTGACCCTGCGTTTTTAGTCCATATGTAAAATAAAGCGGCGCTTTATTGAACCCATCCTCAGCCGGAAGCACAGCTATAGAGCAATGAAAAGTATCATAAAGTCGAATATGCAAGCGATGTTCACAGGTGGTCGGCAACGTGTGAGAGACGTGCTCAGCCATCACTGGTCACGCAGATGTGGAGTTGGTGTGTTGACTAGTTACGCGCAAGGTCGATGCACATGCACGTAGCACATCGGGCGATGACCGACAAGTGTGTCGCGCCTAACCTATCAGCCGCTAACATGTACGGTCTCACGTGCGTAAATGAGCACTATCCCTTTAAGTCAACTGTAGCCGAGTTGGTTGTTCTCTCTTACACAGTGATCTAATCACCTCAAGTAGGTTCCGTAAATCATGTGTCATGCACCAATTAATTGATAAACCTCATGTTGGCCACACTTTCTGCTTACCAGCTTACGGAAGCTTGCATTCTCCGCTTACCATTACTAGGTGTTACGCAACAGCCCACTCACCAGTGCACCATGTTTGATTAATTACCTCCCGTCAGCAGTACTCAAGTCTACTTCGTAACGTACCCTTGTTACAGCTTTATTTCTGGGTTGACTGCCTCAATTCGGTGACATGGTTTTATAATTTTGTTTGGCACTTCAATGTGGCGCTCATAAGTTACACTGTGTTGTGTATGAATTGCTGCTCTTTCGCCATAGACATGGTCTTCATATATGTTCCCATTATGTGATTCCCCAACTTCGTGTTATGACCTTCAGTCGCATGGAATTCGCATTGAGACGCCCCGTGGGACTGAGTCGCCCAACCATTCCGCCTTGCTATACACAGACCGTGTACGACTACTGGCGACCTCGAGCGCACAAAAGACAGACCTACAGCGAAAGCGCTTTTACAAGTCTTTACAAAAGAAACCACTTGGTTGGCAGCATCCGGTTCCCCATGTGCCTGTCACAGCGGTCTCCATAGAACAACCACTGGAGGCCTGCGCCTACACAGGGACCATTGGTGGCTTACGCTGCACCATCCACACACCTAATATCCAGATTAAACTCGAAAGAATAAGACCGGGAGGCATACGGATGGAAGCCACGTTTCAACAACGAAGCCGGCCCACACCTTCATAGGCAAACACAAACACGCTGTATTTGGGGAATCAAGTGAACACAAGGCGGTGGCTGGACCCCAGTCCGCTCCACACTGAGTGCACCTTTGCATCATCAGCCTCAGCATATATATATATATATATATATATATATATATATATATATATATATATATATATATATATATATATATATATATATATATATAAATGCATAAGTCAGCTAACTGTCCATGTGCTAGACCCGCTGCCTTTCGGGTGTTCATTTTATCGAAGGCTTTGGCTGAGGACCCGAGTCGTTCTCCTGTCAGGATTGGGCGCCCTGGCAGTATCCTAGTCCATCCTCTCCGGAGGTTAGGAAGTGGTCGATGGCCCACTTCCCGTAAAACCTAGCCATGGGAGACAACAGGTTACGGATTATATTCCCAGTGCTCGATTGGCGTAGAGCACGAGTGCCACGCATTGTCTCTGCCGGTGGGAGGACACCTCCGGGTGTTCAATGGTTTGCTACTGCCCGCCTCAAGCCAGGCAGCCCCTGGTCAAATTGGTGCAAACCCGCCAAAAACCCACCTGCGTCTGGCCGTGGTCGCATGTGCGTTTCCAATTACGGTCGCAAAACATATGATAACTGTTCCAGAACCTCAAAGGCTGCGTGTGACGGCCGTCAAGCAGATCCCCATCTGTCTCTGCAATCACATTCCCGAGCTGGGTCTGCTCTCCACTGCCTTGTGGGTCAGGCTATTGAGCCAAAGGCTCCGGGCGGAGTCCCTCAAGCAAACCTCCAAACCACCCCCTGTCCGCCAGTGAACCCAGTATTTCGGCAACAAATAAGCCTACAAGTTTTCTCGATTGATCATACACATAGTACGATTAAAGTGCTCCCTAAGGTTCTGATTTGCATCAGCAAGCCATTGAACATTATGTTTAACGTATTTGAATTGCACCCAGTATCATTTCGACGCACCAAGCGCGCGCAGGGACTTTGGCATTGAGCTAGTCCAAAGTAGCCAATGACGGTAGATGTAATAACGCTTGCATGAATGTATGAGTTGATGGTGTGTGATGGAGACGCGTGGGCGATCTAGTCTCCATTCAGCAACGGTGACTTATCTAAAGTTAAATCCACGCAGCTTAGGGACACAAGGTCACAGACGGTCGCATAATTCTGTGCTCTATGGTAATCCTGGATTATTCCGTTCATTTTTTGTGCTACATTCTTGGAAATACGCCCATTCGTTTCGGCTCGCCGAGTTCTATCGAACAGGATTTGTATTTGCGCAGTAAGTCCTCCGTCTCGCTATTTCATCCCAACCGGCGTCTTCGGTAATTCGTACATTAAGAACCACGCTTGAAAGCTTGCTTTTCAAGGTAATCTCAGTGAATTTAAGAAACCATTCTACAGAGCTTTTCTAAAGCTATCAGGTGACATATAGCTTAGTACTGTGCACCACCATACACCATAGATACTGGCTATTTTGTCCTTTCATCGACATTCCTTCGTGCACCCTACCCACACGAAGTGTTTGTGATTCCATACACGCTTGCGCCAGGACCTATCACCACCAAACCCGGACAGCGACGGTTACCGCTAGCCGGACTAGTCAATTCACGCAGCTCACAACGGTGCGACCGGAGTGATTTAAAGTGCATACGAGTCACTAAGCCATGGGAAGGCGAAGTTTATCAGCGGGTCCACGCGTGCACAAAACAACGAAGGTCAATCATGGCTCAAGTAAGCGGAGAACTGTCATCACAAAAATCACGTGCTCTGTGTGCAAATTCTTACGACGAAGTGGACGTGAACTCAGAACTTGGCGGAAACCGCAGCGTAATAACAAATAGTTTGTGGTTCTGTGATGCGTGTTCAGGTAGCCCAATAGCCAACCTTATCCGAACTCTCAACGCGAGGTGTGAAATGTTGGCTGTTGCCTCATCCGAACAGAAAGAATTGGTCAAGGCTTTGGGAGGGGAAATCGCTGAACTCGAGTTTCAGCTTAGTGTATTAAGTAGCCCTAACCCAAGACCTACCAAAAGACCAAAGTTATCCATTAAAAATGTTACACGTTCCGGCGAAAAACAAGCACCATTAGCGATAAACAACTGTGATGCCAAGCCAGTTGAAAATTCTATAAAATCTTCTGTTGTACCGCAAGGCGTAAAGAGTTATGCACAAATTGCACGATCATCGCTATTAGCTGGGCAGCACATTACAAACTGTGTGAATAACGTCGTTGCACAGGAGAATTCTTGCTGCAGCTTTGACTTGTCTTCCCCACAAGACAAGACCAACCCTCCCACACGACAAACCTCCACCCAAAAAGAACTGCAACAAACTAAATTACTACGCAACCAACAAGCGATGACAGTCATATGTTTAAACGTACCAGAACCCACCAGCGAGTCGTTAAAAGGTCGACAAGCCGAAGAGCAAAATCGCTGGACTGAGATAAGCTGCGCACTAGGAGTAAACGTTCTCCCAACTCGTCTTACACGTCTGTCACGAAACCCATCGTCTCCTCACGTAGGGGGAACCTCGGTTACTGCGAGTAACATTTGGCAACACAAAGGACTTGGAGGATGTTCTCTTAGCAAGCCACAGTCTACCGAACTCTTCTCTCAGTGCCCGCATTTTTCCAGACATGCCATGGAAGGAAAGACAAAAGCGAAAATCCGACCCAACCGCGTCTCGTCAAAATCTAATGAAGAAAGTGGTGTTGGTTCATGGTGTGCCCGAACTGAAACATGGCGACACCAGTGAAAGACAAAAACACGATATTGATGAGTGGCGCTACATCACAGAACTCTATGGCATGCAGAATGTTGTGGCATTCGACCTCAGCCGCTTAGCTTCCTCCCCAAACTATCAAGGGACCGGGCCGAAAATTTTGAAAGTTACCTTGGCTACGCCGGAGATGGCATCAATGGCAATTAACGTGTGGTACCACAACAGAAGGCTAGGACCACCAGAAGTACGACTGAGACCATTCCTGCAAGCAGTACAGACCACTGGTACAGTTGAGTCAGACCTGGCTTTTCCGACCATAGACCAGCCAAGCGTGCAAACACTCGTGTCAAAAAACGTGGGCAGACCGGCACTGTTTGTGCCGGTCAAACACAGCGAACCCACCTCCTAATGCGGCAACAAATGCAATGCTGCTACACAAACGACCAAGGGCTTTACTCCAAGTTGCCGGAATTGCGCCATCGGCATGAAGCAGCAACTTGGGACATCATAGCATTAACTGCAACCTGGCTCTCAAACGAGATTTTGGATCCAGAAATTGAACTTAGTGAAATGTCAGTCATTCGAAATGATCGTCCATCTCGCGGTGGTGGCGTTGCTATCTACTACCGAGATCACCTGAAATGTGAAGCTCTCACTGAGCATTCCCTTATTTTGCCGACTGCATCCATCCGGTCCCGATGGTTGTCCTCAGAAGAAGACACATGATGCTTGCCTCATAGCAGTTGTCTACAGGCCGCCGAACTCCTCCGCCGACAGCGATGATATTCTGTTAAATGCTCTCCAATATGCTATGTCGAAAAAGTACTCACACTACCTAATAATGGGTGACTTCAATGTACCGTCAATAGCATCTGTGTTCCCAAGTGGGCCATGTTTCAAATCAAAACTCCTTGAGTTCTTGACTATGGCAGTTTTGTATAACCATGTGGATCAACCAACCAGACACCGCGGTTCAAACAAGCCTTCAATACTTGATTTAATCCTGACTAATGAGAAGTTAATGGTTGAGTCGGCTTCATACAACCCCCCGCTAGGTTGTAGCGATTATTCAGTTCTAACGTTTGATTATGTGTGTTATGCCAGTATGGTTGACAAAGAACCAGAAAGCCGACGATTCATCACCAACTATTTCAAGCTTCACACTATAGCGACAACCGTTGACTGGGACCTCCGGATGCACACTTCGGC